GGAAGAAAGCCAAAGCCATGTCTGTTAAGGCATGAGATATATATAGCAAGGCCTGGGACAGTCATGAAATGGCTATTCTCTCATCAGATGAGCAGTGTTGCCTGCCAGGGGACTGCTGTTGGAATAATACAGCTTCTGACAAAGCTGAGGGCCTGCACTGTTTGGGGCACAGTCTATGCATGAGCCATACGGAGCAGAAACACTCATAGGTGTGAAGTATCCATGTAGTAAGTCTTGAAGCTGCAAAGCCAGGCTGAGTTCACACACTTTCTGGCAGGGACAGGTGAGGTGCAAATTGTGCTCCAGTCTCATGCAGCATCAGCAACCTTTTGGGCTGACAAAAGTGGAAGTGAGACCAAGGGAGCTTTTGGAAAAGTAGGTGCAAGAAAGGAAGAAGCAAGAGGGAGAGGACAAAAGCTGTTTACAAGCAACAGCAAGCACAAGCTGTTGTTCTTCCTCCCCTCTGTTGACACAGCTGATCAGACCCTGTGTCACTGAAGCGCTGCTGCAACCTGAACTAACATGATAACAGATTCTGTCACACTGTTATCATAAAAAAGCTTAGTGCATGCACTAAGTGCCTGGAGGAATGAAGACACTCAGCAACTCCCAGCTGTGCAGACAAAAGAGAACTTGCTCCCTAGATGTTGCCTAGTTCCCCTCTCCATCTGTCTGGGCTGGTTTGTGTTGATATGACTTCAGATGTGTGGTCATACGGCTTCTTTTCTTTGAACTCAATTTTGTCTCTTTCCTCTTTGGTTAACTGAGCTACTGCATCCTCATGCTTGCTCCCTGCCCTTTACAGCATGGAGCAGCCCAAGAAAAAGTAAAGTAGGGAGTCCTCAGTCAGCTGTGTCAGCATCACTGCCACTCTAGCAGTATACGGGACAGAGGAAGAGCCAGGAGCAGGCAGGACTGGGGCATAATGGCTCCAAATTGACAGAAGTCCCCTTGGCAAGCATGGCTTTTTACCTGTGAGATAGAACAGCCTTAGGTTTTCTCCAAAAGTCCCAGAGGCCAAAAAAGCCCCTCTCTGACCACTTTTCCCAGCAGCTGTGGAACACAGCTGAGGACAGTCAACTTCCAACTTAAGAGCCAGGAGCAGGCAGGACTGGGGCATAATGGCTCCAAATTGACAGAAGTCCCCTTGGCAAGCATGGCTTTTTACCTGTGAGATAGAACAGCCTTAGGTTTTCTCCAAAAGTCCCAGAGGCCAAAAAAAGCCCCTCTCTGACCACTTTTCCCAGCAGCTGTGGAACACAGCTGAGGACAGTCAACTTCCAACTTCTAAGAAGAAAAATCCCAAATAGAACAGTCTAAGGTGACCTCTTCCACGAGGAGCATTGCTTGCAGGACTGCAGGACAGGGACTGTATTGGAAGCAGACATCTAAGATGATTTACCTGAGGGTTGGACCCTGACTCCCTGGCCACCAATGACTCTTAAAGCCCCTCATTTATACATCACAGTGTATACATGACTTTTCTCTTGCTGTTTTCCTTCTAGGATAGGTATGGCGGGAGTCTGGACAGGAAAGATGGGCTGCATGGATTAAGGGATCACAGCCAAGGGAGTGCAGCAGCTATGCAACGGAGACACACAGACCCACTGCACCAGCCGACACCGGTAGGTGATGTACCTGGAAGGCCCCATCTGCCCAACTCAATGGGTCCCTTAGCAATGGCCAAGCAGTCTGGGCAATGTCACCCACACATGAAGAACAGTGTATTAAGCCTGTCAGAACATATCTTAGAAGATGTTTCTGAGTCTCAAGACTCTATCCCAGCCACTTGAATCTGCTTCTGGGGCACTCTGAGAGAAGCACTACAGTGTTACATGAGCGTAGTTCTAGGACTGCTACAAGGGCCAGTCTTAGTTAACATGCAGCCTCAGTAGAAGAGGGAACTTAGCATGAGATCAACAAAATAGGCACCTGGGACATTGTGAATGAACCCAAGCTCACTCATGGCTTTGGATCAAGCATGGATCCAGTCCAGCAGAAGACCTTTCTGAAAGCCTAATGATATTTCCTAGAAGGGCTTCATGTCCACTGATGCAAGGGACTATCAAGTATCTTTGCCACCACAGCCAGGCCTTTTCCTAAGCACAGTAGCTAGATGTACAGTATGCAAGTCCTATGGAGAGTTGCCTCATGATACTGTGCAGTGCTACAGTGCTCCTTCTGTCTTGCAATGCACTTGTAGTCACGCTGTCTCTTCCACTACTTTTTGCTTCAGTCCTGAGAAGACCTGTCATCACTCAGTTCTACTTGTCAGCACCTGGCACATCCTCTCGGACCTACTATGCCATCAAAGTGGGACTCACCTATCTGTCACCCTTATCTGTCAGAGCTGCTTCGCACAGTGGATGTGGGCATGATCCCATAGGTCTCTGCAGACATCTCAGACTGCTCCCCTACCTGGATCCATACCTGGCAGCTGACCTTAAGTAACTACCTGCTCTGCAAATTCCTACTATGTGAATACCTGCATAAAGCATGGTGTCTTTCTCTGTCTCGGCCCATGATTCCACTGCCAACTCCAGAGTATTTCTCTATCAGCTCCTAGGAGTGTGACCTAAGGCACACTCCTCATTCTTGAGGAAATGTACAGCTTAGCCCAGAACAACCAGAGAACCTAGATCCAAGGAGAGAAGGGAAGGACAGCAGACCTTTCTCAAACATGAGAGAAAGAGGGCAGATAGGATTAGGAAATTTGGAACAAACTGGGAAGCATGTCTTCTTTTGGCAAAAGCCACAAATCTTTATTATAATCCAGCTCAAAATATAATGGCTTTTATCCCTCAGAGTCTGTGGCAATGAATAACAACATGCCCTTGCCTGCCACACCCCATCAGTGATCTAAAAGCCACAAATCCAATTAAAGGAAGGTCTACATGTCCAGCCAAATAACTAGGAGCCATTTTTCTAAGCAAGGCCTTGAATGGAAGATTTAGCAAAAGTTAGTCGGTCTTCAAAAAGATCTCTCCATCTGTGCCCACAAAATATACCTCCCAAATTATCCGTGCCTCGTTGTGTGGGTGCCAACAATTTCCCAGAAAAGAAGCCCATGCTATGTCATTTAAAATCTGATTTCCGGTCAAAATAGGAGATTGACTGCAAAGTCTCTTACAATGAAGTTCTCACCATAAAGAGAAAGGTCTGACCAGAATGCTCATTAAAGTACAAACCCAAAATAAACTGATACACCCTAACAGTTCCTAACTCCTTTTGATCTCAGGGGACCAACCGTGGGGAGAGCCCTAAGGAGGTTTAAGACCCTCCCCTATGCTCCAGAAGTGCCTGAAAGAGCAAATATCATTCTTTACAATGTTCACTAGACTCATGTGTGCGCTGTCTCTCTTGGTGTATCCCTCATAGTTCTCTGCTGGCCAAGGACACATTTCTATGTCCATACCAGCACCAGGTCACCTCCCTAGAGCCATTTGCTTATAGTGTACAGCCCAGCAGGACTCAGGCAGGAGCCCTTCTCTGTGCTTCCATAACTGGCTTCAAACATGGCTACCACGGCTGATCTTACAGGGTGGAGGAGACAGAGCCGTGTGAACGCTATTTCCTAAGGACCTGCTCAGTCTGACTTTTCACCTTATGGTGCGAATACCCATGAATATACTGAGGTTGCTGAGAACCCAAGCACCATCCCTTGGGTGTCCCATTAAATTGGTCCCTCCTTCCTGGCATCTTGGCCACTTCCTGGTTTAATTGCAAGATGGTCTCAGTTTCAGCATTGCTTGTCCTCTCAGTGAACATACGTACTGGGGCATAAGAGGGGTGACAGGAGGATAATCTTTAAGAGTTCTGGCTCATTGTTCCCTGCCTGTCTCTATTTCCTTTCCAGCGAACGCTATGGGTCCGTGCCTTGTACGACTTTGATGCTGTGGAGCATGACGAGCTGGGCTTCCGCAGTGGAGACATCTTAGAGGTCCTGGACAGCTCCAACCCATCATGGTGGAAAGGACGTCTGCGTGGGGAACTGGGTCTCTTCCCTGCCAACTATGTCACACCGGTGCCCCTGTGAGGGCACAGTATGCCCCGGAGGGCTATATTGGAGCTGCTCTTCTGACATGACAGGGACAGAGACAGAGTGCATCTTCCCTTGCCCCCAGGACATACGGCGTTTTGTTTTTGTCTTAATTTATTGGCAATTGATCTTTTGAAATGTTGGTATGAAAGGGAACCCTTTGAAGAGGATAGGAATTTTTTCCCCTATTTTTCACATCCATGAAGGGAAGGGAGCAAAAATCCTGGACTGTTCATTGAGACCTTGCTGGATCCTCCCTGCCCTGTCACTTCTTTGGCTAAGTATTGATAACTTCCTGCAATTAGGTTTGTTCTGTGGAAATGCACCTCAGACAAGTCAGGCTTCAGTATTCAGGTAGCCCTACCCATTCCTTTTGGATCTGGTAGCACCCAGTATCTTCAGGCTCCATTTCACCTTTCTTTCAGAGACTGGAGGAACACCCAGGTGAATTAAATGATCGTTGGTAACCATGTTAAACCTTCAGGTAGGGAGGGAAAGTGAGGGGGCCTTAGGCTGAGGTGCAAGGCAAGCGTGACTTTTCTAAATAGTTTCTGGCTTACCTCTCTAGTACTTTCTGTGGGTACGGACTGTATGGATACACCAGACGAAGGGAAAGGATCCTGTAAGCTTTTGCACAACCAGTGGTGAAGGTATGGGAGGGTGCAAAGCTACGTTCTTCTTCTGATAGTCCTTCCTTCTGCACCTCATAACAACATGTCCCATTTTCAAGCTGCTCTCTGAGGTACCTACCCTTCTGTTAGACATCGTGGTTAGAGCAGGTCGGGCCCTTCAGCTAAATTAATACCCACTGGATCGGATAACAATATCCCTCACTGGTTCCTTTTGTAAAACTGAATTGGGGAGGGGTTGGAGAGAAGAGGTTTTTCTGGTTTGGTGGCAGAAGTTCTTTCCCTGAGAATGTGAGGTGTTCGGGATCGCTGTGTACACAGCTCTGACTTGCTAGTGGAATGCCTCATCCAACAGGTTAAGCTGTTACTTTACAGTATGCAGAGAATAAAATTGTGGCCATCATAATAGTCTGTTCTCTGATCCAGTTTCTTTTGGATGAAATAAGGTAAATGAGTAGGTTTTCAAATCATTGCCGAGTGAATGCCCAGATGTGATGCAACCATACTGCAAATGCACATTTAAAATGAACCAAACCCTGTGAAGGAGAGACTGCTGCATAACCGCTGCTCAGGCAAATTGATATTAAACAAGATGCCTGAATTTTTCACAACATGCGGGGCCACCGCAGTCAGCAAGGATTTATCATTCTTAGGAAAGAAAGAAAAGGCAAGTGAAAAACTCTAAAAACAAATCCAACCCAGCAAGAAGAATGTTCTTATCTTTTGTTAGTCCCAGTGGGAGAAAAATAATCCAGGAAATAGGTTCTTGGTAAAGTCCAATTCAATGTAGCTGGCCTAAATAAAACTGCCAGCTAGACAGAGTATTAGCAGAAAGAATCCATTGTCAGATTTTTGTGAGAACTCCACCAAAAGCAAATTATTAATGGGTGAAGTAACATGAGAATAATTAACAAGGCATATAAACTCTAAATAAAATAGAAAACTTTGACATGTTAAGAGCTTATCTGCATTGCCTGCCAGGGTGGTTCAGGAAATTGAGAGATACCATGTGGCTTCCTGGGCTGGACTTGGCCTTGTTTTCTTGCAGGAGCTCTGTTCTGGGCCTTCAGCATCTCCTTTTGAAGTCCACAAGGCTTCTTTTGGAACAAGCTGCCTTATTACTGGGTTGGTGCAAGGGTGTAACCTCAGTGACTCCCCAGTTTGAAGAGTGTTTTGTTGTGATTCGCTCTTTTTAAACTGTTTTTCATTTTTGCTAAGGTAATGTCAAATTTGGAAGAGAGCGGGTTAATATTCAGTGAGATTAAGGATTAAGACCAGGGGAAGACAGAAGCAAAGAAAGCAGAGACCAGCAAAGGCAGAGGAGGGGTATGAATGATGAATCTTTCATATTCAGGTCTGGCTGAAACAGAAGAAATGGTATGTTCACCCTTATTCCCACCATGTCGAATCATCTTTCAATTAATTCCTTTTTTTTATTAGTTACTTTTAAAATTAGAAGCAATGTCTCCTTTTCCTTTCCTCAGCACTCTAAAGACCCTCTTGGTAGTGAAGATGTAGTTGCACAAAATTAATTGAAGATAATGCACTTAGCAGTTTGATAGCTCTTCACACATCTGAAACCCCCTTACAGAGATTAACTAATTAAGCAAGTCTAAGTAGTACATGGTAAGTACCCCCATGTTAACTCATGAGTCATTCGAGGAAGAGGTAAATTTTCACGTGATTTTTTTTAATTGATGTTTAAGGAATTAATACTTAAGGTAATTAGCGTTACAGGACTCCACGCTAATTATGGACAACATACCAGAACCACAGTAAAATCACGATTTCCCATTATGAGTAGCACCTAATGACACCAAGATTACTAGGAGGCAAAGGTATCATGGTGTCTGTGATAACTATACTAGTGCACTGCCTCGTGCAGCTGGCCAAACTTCGGTCTCCAGGACCCAGTCTTGCTTGCCTCTGCTTTTGTCCTTGCCTGCTCCCCACAGCAGAGGCAGCACTACCTGCATTTACTGTACTTGCCAGCAGCTGGGAGGCACAGCCATGAGACTGCATTTTTGTACCCCCCCACAGTAGAAGTTGTTTTCCTTCCAGCAAAACAACAGCACAGAGAAGAACCACGGCCCTTCCCAAGTCAATGGAGTCTCTGGATACAAAGAGAGGTATGGGCAAAGGGGGTAGAAGGTGCTGTAGCCATAGGACAAAGGTGTTTTCCGTGCCCTGTGCCATTTTCTGCTGTAGTCTGCCCATGAAATGATATCTCCCATAGATCAGGTCATTTAATAAGGAAAAAAAAAAAAAAAAGAGAGAGACACTCCTCTCCTCCACCCATATATCCTGCCAACCTTCCTGCTCCTTCTTCCAACAGGTTTTAATTGTAACACAATCCTTGCTAATGTTGTGGTGCTTCACTTAACACCTGTGCTGTGAAAACCTCACATTCTATTGCCTATGCAAGAGGTAGGTGTTAGCAGTGTAGATGACAGTGTGGTGCACTGAGTTTTCCTGACATTTGTCAATGTTTCATAAAGAACTAACCCTCCAGAACACATCCTGAGGGAGCCTGCTGTGAAACCAAAACAGGAAGGAATAAAGAGGAACCCAGAGAGGTATTTTGTTTGGTATTTTTCTTAAGTAAGACAGACAGTTCATAAGAAAAGAGATTTTAAGCAGAGATAAAAGGAGGAAAAGTATGTGGGAAGGCAAACATTATTATAACAAATAAAACAGAGGAAGATGGACTTGCACATGGAAAAATAAGTTTGATGAGCACAGCTGAGCTGTGCTTTCTCCTGTCTGAATGAACTTTTTGCCTACATTCTGCTGCAGATTCATATTTTGTTTATAAATGTCTCTGTGATTAATACGGCTGAGTGAAAAACAGTAAATGGAAATCGCCTTTCATGCGAAAGCTGTCCAGGTGGTTTTCTGTGCCACAAAACAGAGACGCCTCTCTTGGTGTACATGCTTATGGTTAACAGCTGCACTCTGGATGCACTGCAGAAACAACCGGGACATGGCTGGTTCCCGCCTGACTGCTGGCAGTGCAAGAGCACTGGGAAGACGACGCTCACTCAGTGCTGCCACAAAGCCAACACCTGGTCAGGAGCTAGGCCAGTCCCCCTGTACCAGGGATACAACAAGTTCCTGGGTGGTGGTTGTTGTTTTTTAAATTGAAAGTAGTTGTCCGTTTCAGTGGGCTGTGCAGGAAATTTGGAGCTTTTCACAACAGGCATCTGTTCATCATCTGTTTCCCTGCTCACTGCAGGGGGGTTGGGCTAGCTGACCTCTAGGGGTCCCTTCCAGCCCAAAACATTCTATGATTCTATGATCATCTTTCCTATTCAGCAGCACCTCTCATCCTTCCTCCCTAAAGGGATTCCGATGCTGCAGGCTCTCCAAAGGCCATTTTGCCTTCAGCCCTTGGTGGAGAGCAACCAAGGATGGCAGAAGCAAAAGATCCAGGAGTCAGGAGAAATCAGTCTTGAAGAGTAATGTGGTATCAGCTGGGACATTTTGCACTGCAGGAGCAATGCCCCAGCATCTGTTGGCTAAGCTCTACACTGAGTGGAAAGTGGCAAGTCTTTTAATTTTATCGTTGTCACATCATTGGGACAACAAAGATGTCTGTCGAGACAGAAGTGTGGCCATCTGGCCTAGGGCTGTCCTCAGAGTCTTGCTCCGCTACTGCAGCTCTCTGCCAAGGAGCCTGGGTTGCACCAGACTAGGTGTGAGAAGTATTTGGCAATGTTGTCCTGCCCGATGCTGCCCGTCCCTGCCCAATGCATCCAAGAAGCCTCCCTGCAGCTGCAGCCCATCACCTCACTGTGCCTGGATGCACCAGAATCGCCCAGCTTTTGCCTCTGTGGTGATACAAGAAAGTCCTCTGCAGCCATTTCATTCTCATTTCAAATACTTCTTCAAAGCAATTGGCTTAGCTGCTTTTAAATGAAACCCTATGGAGATCAGTTGAAACCATTAGCACTCCCTAGATGATCCAAGCAGTAACATTTACTGGTTAAAACATACACATTGACTAAAAGGCTCCTGACACCCAGCCACTCCTTGCCGCTGAAAGCTTTCCATTTCAGTGGGGAAGCATGAATTGAGTATAGGATAAAGCTTTTAATAGCACTGAGGAAGAGGGCAGAGCATTGCCAATTTCTCTAATTTTTAGAGGCAACTTTCATGTGACAGAGTTCAGGAGCCTTAATTTGCATCAAATGCAAAGGAAGTTTCTTGCATAAGCAGAACTGACAGTAGAAAACAGCCAAGGACTTATCTGCGAGCTGCAGGACAGCAGGGGAACCGGCAAGCGAGTAGGAAAAGTTCGCGGACCTTTGTGCAGAGGGAAAATTCAAAGCACATTGTTTGCTGTCATTGTGCAAGTGAGAGCCGCTTGGCGGATGTCCAGCCTGCTAACATGCAAATGCAAAATTTCAGAAATGGCAGGCGTGCAGGGATCCTTCTAGACATGCAGAAATAAAATTACCTCTAGCAACAAAGGGAAGAAGAAGAAACAAATAAATTAGAAGTCCACAGTGAACCAGTCCACAGCAGCCCTTCTCGTGACTGAATGTTTTCTGCCAGGTGCAGCACGCTACAAGTTTGGTTACAAAATGCTGAATTAGAAGGAGGCTGCATCAACCTTTTTTTTTTTTTTTCTTTTTTTGGTTTCATCAAAATTTGTGGGGGAAAAATATCAACTGCAAGTTTGCTACCAGCACCAAGGGGAAGGGGAACTGCCCTTTGCTCTGTCCCTTCTAGAGTAATTTTCTTCCGAGCCGAATGCATGTGTACCCCCAGCAGCTCGTTCTGAACTAGCAGCTTTTTACACTCGCTTGGCAGAGGTGTGAATAAGAGGGCTGCGTGGTGGCAGAGAGTCAGCTCTCTGTAGTTGCGTATCTATACATCTGAGCTCACCGTTGTGATGGCAGCTATTTGCCTGTTATCGGATGAAGATGGACTGCTCATAACAATGGCCATGATTTCATCAGAGCAGCTGAGTCAATCTAACAGCTCACTGCAGAAAAGGATCCACTTGGTTTTTCCTGGGTTAATGAGTTGAGTCAGCTCACCGAGGGCAGTGTAAGGAGGCCCAGAGCCAGTGCAGGGTGAGCAGTGGGAATGCACAGCCAGGAGGGGAAAGGGAAAGACAGAACATCCCACTCCTGGCAGCGGGAGCTATTAGATCACCTCATCCTAGGCTGCATACTCAGCAAAATGAAAACTTACTTGGCTTTGAGGTTGCCATAATGCCTTTACATGAGTAGGGAGCCCTTTCTTTAAAGCTGGTTTCGGAGATCGGGGTGGGGGCAAGAAAGGAGGAGAGAACTCAGATCTGCTACAAATAGTGCATCCTAATCTCCTCCGTGGAAGCTCACAGAAAGTCTTTTCATTTAAACAGCAAAGTCATAAGAGTTTGTTATTTTTTGGACTGTAAAGAAGAAAAAACCTAATTCCTAACATGGTCACAACAGCAAAACTATCAGTCGTTCAAGCTATTATCAACATTACCTCTGAGGGGAATGGACCATGCACAACAGTTTTCAGGAGAAAAAAACCTAATAGCAAGAAGTACCTTGCTGCCCTGTGAAATTGCTAAATTAGTGCCACTTGTTGCTGATGCTTCTCTTTCTGGGTGGGGTGCAGCTCTCAGTCATGTTTATCAGGTTGGAGAGCACACCAGTGCTTACAAGTTTAAATCTTCAGCATCAGCTGACCAAAATGATAGCTGCATACTCTCATTTAAA